TCCTGCCCGGCCCCCAAAGGAACGCAGCCCAAAGCTTTTGCATACTCAACGTTTATTAAAAATAGTATGAAATGGTCCCTGGGAGAAGTTACACGCTAGTAGAAGTCCCTTTTTTTTTTTTTTCTGTTTGTTCGGGTTTTTGTTTTGTTTCGTTCCCCCCCGCCCCAACTCCCCCGATTGCATGAGATGCGGGTTCACCAACAGTCCCCCGAGCCGTTTAAACACATCTAGACTCGCGTGGGTAAAGCACAGATTTCACTTCTATTCATATTTACAATACTTTACAAGCTATATTAAATAAATACGGGCTCTGCTACGGCATCTTGAATATGTACAACATTAATTCTCCGTCGGATTTTACTAGATGCGGGTCCTATCACAGTGGATGCGCTGACTACAAGAAGTATCCCTGTGGTACGAGCTAGTAAGTACCGTGACCAACCAGCCCTCAAAATAACAATTCCTAGCCAATGCGAGATACGTGCGGTAAATAATTTAATCCGTTCTAACAAATTCAAGTCCTTGAATCTTAGTCTACAAGTAATTAGCTGTACACTGACAACTTCAGGTTTTCCTCACGGTAACCAATGTAGTAAATAGTCGGCCCTTCTGGAAGTACAGTGCTCTGCAGCTGAGGGGAGTGATACGTGGTTAGTAAAAATAATACTTCAGTTAAACTCCTTTATTTAGTGATATGTTTAAGTCAGTACTGGCTTTATCCACAGAATCTGAAGAATTTAAGCACCAAAAAAGAACAACAGTCACACAAGATGATCAGTGTAGACATATTCAGGCTTTCCTTCAGGTACAACGTTTTCAAGTAACAGAATCCAAAGCTGTGCAACAAAGATGACGAAGGGGAGTAAGCGTGCAGCATATTGGAAAGCCTGTTCTTGTTGTCAATGGCAGCATTTCTTCTATACGTTATTTGCAGAAGAATGGAATGTATTCTCATTTTTTAAGCTACTTTCATTGTACATAAATTGGATTAGATTCAGCCCTGGCCGGTTAAGAAGATAAGTTATTTTATCCCTCTCTGCCAGGAAAGATAATTTCCTACTACAGGAGATACATACGCTGCAGAGGGCAACTTGTAACTCAACCAGCGGTATCGCTGAAACACCCTGTGGGCCAAACATGCTTCAGGGTTGATATCTCACCCAAGCATCTGGCCCAGCCCCACCTTCTCTCGGGGTTACTGACTTTGGGACTCGAATGAATATATTGCAGGCCACTGTGTGTAAAACACAGCTACTTGGCAAATTCATACCCAGTGGCTTTCCACTGCTGGGCTCTGTGCTACAAATTGTTCAAAATTTTGCCTGCATGTCACAAACACCACAATCACTGGAGGTACCAAACCCGGCTAGTCATCTTCACAAGCAGCAGAGCTCCCCTTCTACCACCCAAAACATCCTCCAGGCAAGGACCGCGTCACATCCACAGGTTCACATAAAAAGCTGCGACTGCCCATCCTCTGCCTACTATGCAGTTATAGAAAGCAGAAAAGGCTTCAGACACAGAGCTATCAGCTTGGCATCCCTCACAAGGACTAGGACTAGTTTTTGTTTAAAACCTAAGAAGCCTGTTCCAAAGTAATGTAATGTATGCATTGGTCCCACACACTTGGAATCTGTCTGACGAAAAGTAACGTGCAAAAAGTATGTGCAATTGCACATGTAGCATGTTGGTGTAGTTACCAGAACACTGCTCAGAAATCTGCACAGTCACAGGAGTAACTCCCATATGTAACCAGAGCAATCATGTGAGTATTTTGGACGCAGAACACTGGTCACCAACTCCAAAGTCCAAACACTAAGGCTTCCACACGATAAAATGGTTTCAGAATCAAATGGTATCACACCCAGTTCGATGCTAAGAATCAAAGGGTATCACACCTAACAAGGGAAGAGATGCAAAGGTTAAATAGGAGACAAGAAGTCCACCTGCACTACGGAGTGAGACCCCAGACAGTGCACACGTGGCCTTTTTCACTTCCAGGATTCTAAACCATTTAAAAAAAAGATACATTTCACATCTATTTACAATAGTACTGTGATACAATGCCTGATTGTGTAATATTATGGAAATACATGATGCCAGTACTGACTGTCCTAGTATATACTCTGTCATGATAAGGCAGTACAGCTAGAAATTACTGAAAGCATCAAGCAAAGCTACTTGAACTGAGACACTGAAACTTTTCCCTTAAAGACTGGACAATATTCTGCTGATTGGGAGACGGTACTCGCCACAGGTAGTCGTTCAGTTTATCCGAATCACTATATGCAGTCAGATATGGGGTAAGTGCATGTTTGCTGCTGGTGGACTTTGCAGGAGTACAAGAGACAGTTTTGCCGCAAAGTGTTTCAGAAGGAGCAGTGTCTGTGTTACGCAGTTTTGGATCCGATTTCCTTGTTTGGTTCTGAGAAGTCTCCAAGTCAGATCCCTCATCTTCAGACTTTATTTCAACGTAGTCATCATCATCCCCTTCTCCTTCTTCAGTATCTTTGAAATTAGAAAAATAGTTCTGAGTGGCCATCTGTGCCGTGAGAGGGGAGGCCCTGTTCACTCTCAGGACTTTTTGAGAATCCTGCAGAATCATACCTGAACAGTTTTCAGGGATCTGCTTTCTTGTATCAGGCCCTGTACATCCCAAAGCAATACCCGGTGTTTGATGGCTGTTGAATCGGAAGTTCCTATTCGAATAGAGCTTTTTCTTGTCCATTTCATTAGGATATATGATTGATTCTCCAGACCTGTTGACCACAATTGAGGAAGACGACTGCGACCTGCCGTATGCCTGTGGTTTTACATTGCTTACTTTTCTCCCAAGGGAGTTATAGATGTGATCTTGATGCAAATTTTCTTTGTTCGGTTGGCTTATAATGGCGCTCCACCTCTGTGCCGGGACGTGCAAACGGTTAGAAATCTGAAGGGAAGGCACCGAAACAGCTGATGGCAACTGCCTGGAATTGCTTTTTGTACCATCTTCTGTATACGAGATCTTGGACTTTGGGTCTTGGGATTCAGGCCACGGAGAGAAGTCAGCCAGCTCACCATTACTGTATGTAGAATGCAAAAGCCAATCTTCTGCTCTTGAGCATTCACTGGCAGCCTGGGAACAGGGAGGAGACACAGCCAGGGGTGTGGAAAACCTTCCGGCTGATGGCTCCTGAGGGGTGGCCCAGGCTTCCTTTTGGACCTTAGGTGAACTTTCTCTAAAGACTATTTGGTCATAAAGCTGGGAATATTCAGCTATTCTGGCACCTGGAAAGGAGAGAGAACTAACTTAGCAGAGGCCAGCAATCCATTCGAATGAGTCACGTGATAATTTAAAAATCCCAAGACGCTTTGTATCGGTCAAGAGAAAAGTTTAAAGCTGTGTCAACATCTTTAACAGAAGAGCCGTGCATTGCATTGCATTCCAGTACATTGTATTGGAAAAAAAGAAAAGGTCTTGCAACAGTGAACAGTCATGCAGGATGCAATGTGGCACATGGTTCCAATAATACGCTGCTTGTTTCATGTTAAATGGAAAAGAACATTCTGAAAATGTCCTGGTAAATAAGATATTTGGGGACTTTTATAAATATCACAAGAAGGCAAGAATGACACTCTAGCACATGGAGTCCACTGGCTCCATGTCTCCAATTTGTTTCAATTGACTATGCACAAAAATAGTTCCAAAGCCGTTGCATATCCACGACTTTGCACATTCATTAGAAAGAGCAAGAAGACCAGCTCTTTCTTATCTGACCCCATTCCTTATGCTTATTAAGCGTGATGTGGATGGTACCCGAGCAAATCTACATGACTTGTTAGAAGGTAAACACACCTGAAAATACACCTTTTTAGTCAGTCTCTGAAAAATCACACTATTAAAAGAAATAACTGCTTTTCTATAAAGAGGCCAGTAGTGCTTCAGGCATAAGTTCTAGTTCCAGCCTAGGCTGAATTGATCTTTCCTGATACTACCCCACTATTTATTCCCAATTTTATCAAGCAACAAGAATTTATTGCGATATAAAGGAATATTCATGTTAGAAGCAGTCATTTCAGTGGTAACTCAGAAAATACAATATGGACACTCAACTAGTAAGGTGGGGAAAATTCATAACCTTCCAATTCAGTACACAAATTTCATTGAAAGTTACTAAAGAAATATATCTGTAGAGAAATATTTTTGACATACCAATAGCAGGACCACCTTGTTTCTTCTCCTCCAGAATGGCAGCAAGATCTTTGTGTTTCAGTTTCTGTTGTCTGCTAGCTGGCTGTTCCTGCTCTGGGCTTTTAACTTTCAAAAGCTGGTTAGCCTTCTTTATTTTTTGACTGTACTGCCTTGCCATCATAAAAACTCGGTTCTTTGTTTTATCCACAACAGCCAAGTCATTTTCCATGCTCTCTGTATGCGCACTGGACAGAACACCATTGGCAGATTCGTATGGGCTATCTACAAAAGGCATCTCGCTGGAGAAGGAAGATCTGTTCAGACTCATAAAAGAGTTCTCCTTGCACGGTGTAGTGTCTTCAAGCCTGAGACTAGTGTCGCTTAAGGTGGCAGCCCTAGGCTTCACAGTTTTAGGGATAATAGGAGTTTCTGGCAGAGACAGAGTAGACAGTGAGTACTCTACATCTTTACTCAGTTCCGGTGTACTACCAGCATGCAACCTTTCCTGCATATCATCTTTACAAACAGGAAAGGCTGCAAGGAGACGGTCTCTTGTCTTCTCCTCATTCTTCTTGATGTAGTTCTCCAGGTCATTCCAAATCTCATCTACTTCCTCCGAGAGTTTGTCTGCTGCAGACTTATGGGAGAGTGAATCAGAGTTGGAGGAGCTATCTACTAAGCTCAAATAGTCATTGTCAACAGGAACACGATGGTAAGGACTTTCATCTTCACTGAACTGGAGACTCTCTTCAGAAACAAACTGCCGTAGATTGTCACAACATGCAAAGTCTTTTTCCAGGCCCAGAAAACTCCGCCTTTTAGAGCATTTTAAGGGGTCCAATTTAAAATTCAATAGTGGTGTTTCTGGAAGCACTATGGTGTCATAGATGTTGTCTTCAACGATCCTGAGCTCATCCAAACTTGAAGTAGGTACTTCTCTACTGAGTAGTATCTCATCCCTACTAGCACGAATGGAGGCTCTGTTTTGATTTGCTGTCCTCTTTTTGGAGGGTGAATCTAAGCTGCTTTTGTTTTCAGCCTCGTAGAGAGAGTCTCTAGCAGATCTCTGGGGACCACGGTCTGTCTCCTCCCTTCTTGTCAGACCCATCAGCTTTAAGTCGTCATAGCTTATATTATCATAAACATGTTCAATATCATCAATGGTCAGCTCCTCTGAGGATTCAGGATATGCATTCATACTGCTCACCTCTGCTCTCTTCACTTCCCTTCGAGAACTGTGCTCCCCCATTTTATACCTTGCGCTGGCTGGGCACGTGTTACTTTCACCAGCACTACTGGCCCGCCTAACAATTTTGTGACGAGTGGGGCTGGAAGTCTCGTTTTGATGCCCTACCCCCAAGTGCCAGCTGCAAGGCCGCCCAGAGGAACCCCTCCTTTCTCCACCAACGGCTGAAATAGCGTTGGATGTAGATACTGATGGTACAAACATCTGATAATCATCTTCATCGTCTTCATTCTCATAAGGTGGACGTCGGCTGGGAAACAATGCCTGCCTGATCTGATGGTCAGTCCAGATGTTTCTGACAGAGGTACTTCCTCCCAGGATATTCATGATGAGCGAGTTGCTCTGTGGTGTGCTGAATTGTCTAGGCGACTGTGTCTGTCTAGCTGTGCAGGAAAATGGAAGATCGGTATTCAGCTGGGTTGACTCTTCGTCTGAAGGGTCCTTGGAACTCTGTGGAGATTTGCAATATGCAGGTAACATTAGCCTATATGCTAACCCCTGCAATAATACAGCAATTCCCTCCATTCACAGAACTGCCATAGCACCAGCGTGTCCCACAGCACGGAGTCAGGTGGACATGGGCAGGGTGAGCATGCTCCTCACTAGAGAGCCAGGGAGCTAAGGTAATAGCCAGACTACTTTGCCTCCTAATCCTTCCCATGGCTCAGAGTTCACTCTTGGCATTTAATAACATCTTACTTTAAATACAACACACTAGCTTACGTTAACGCATGAGTAATTAAAGGCAAATTTGTTTGGCAGGAGTTATATTAAACCTTTTATGCTAACTCTGCAGTTTCACAGTTGGATTAAGCTAATCTGACTCTGGGCTTGTGCCAAAAGTTTTGTTCTCCTCCCTTTCCCCTTGCCTATAACACTAGCAGAAAGGTATGCTATGCTCTCTAGCACATGCCGCTAAAAATTTCATTTTCTTTTTGGAGTAAGTTTTCATCCAGCTCAGCTAGCAGATCTAATTTACAGCAAGGCCACATGCCTGCTAATGCTAATGTGAAGGATGCTGTAGGTGTTCCTGGCCAGAGGTTGGGAAAGAGAGAGAAAGATAATTCCTTTTGGCTTAAGTTAATGCTGATTGGTTTGGTTAGTTGGTTTTTTTTTTTCCCTGCCCCAAAAAGAATAGTCTTTCATCATACACATGAATATTTCAGTGATATGAATATTAATACATGACATAAACAGAAGATGGCTTATCTGTCTACCTAGGAAAAACATAGATTTCTTTCACATATCTATGATGCATAGCGAAACAGAAGTAAAAAAAAAATATGCATATACCTGTGTTTCACACTGGTTGAGATTAACACTTCTCCGTTTTTCAACATTTTCAGCAGCTTGACTATTAAGTCTTTTTCTTCCCCCTTTTGATTTCTGCAGTGAGTTTTGCTGCACTCCCTGTGATTTAAAAGAAAAGAGCAAGGGAGGGGTAATAAAAGCTGCGGTGCTTTGTACAGTCATCTTCAGAAGAATTACCAGCAGGTAGAACAGGCCAGGTATCCACACCGGGAGGACAATAATGCTCATGAGTAGTCAGAGCACCACCACAAGAATGATTTAGAGCCTAGAAAACTTTTTTTATGACAACCAACCAAATTATATCAATCCATAGAGCTTGTCAAAGCGTTGAAAGCAGAATCTGTGTATAAAAATATAGAAGTAAAATAATACATAGAAATTGGACAAGGGAAAGGCCTTAATCTCGCAGCCAAAGTTATAACAGAAGAAGGTGGTCACACAAAAATTCAATTTGCAAAGTTTTTTTTTGTTTTAAAAAGGGGAGGTGTTAGTCTCACTATCACTTGCAGTCTTGAAAACCAGAAAGCGGTCTAAACTAAAAATATATGCTGTCGTCCAACTTCCCAGGAAAAAAAAACAAGCAGAAGGCCAGAGTGTTATGTGTTGGGCAGAAATTAACTCAGAGTGAAGGGCACTTATGGTGGTAATGGGGGGAACCTGAGAAGGTATTGTTGCCACACCGAGGATTAAACACTAAGCTACCGTTATACGTTTTTTAAGTGGTATTCTTTTGCATTTACTCATTCTTTTGTACTTACTCATGTGAGGAAGAGGGACAATTACAAGACAGTGCACTACACTGATATGAGATATTATTTTATCAAAGATTTACAATGCAAACAGTGTAATTTCAAAGAGGAAACACACAGTAAGCTTCAAAAAGAATTTCAATAACAGGTTTTGGATAATTCATAAAACAAATGGACCACACAAGGATATGACCTTAGCATCAACTAAACCAAACAAGCTGAAAATCTAGGTTCTTTAATACAGCCACCTTTCAAAGCTGGGGTTTTAGTTTTCAGAAGTACTACATTTGTGTGGAAACATCATGCAGAGTGGTGAGAACTACCACCTGTGCTGTAGTAACAGATAAAGATTCTCATTTTCAGAAATCCTACTCACAGCTTCTCATATTAAAGTTCATATGTTCCTAGCTATTGCCAGCAGCTCACAGGTCAAAAAACATCACATGTGGCAGTGCCTGAATCTTAACTTAATATTCAAGTCCTTGCTTTGGAGACCTGAAGGCACTTTCTCTGCATGTGGCCTAAAGAGGTTTCTTTCATGGCATCAGCTGGAGAAGCCAGAAAAGGTCAGTTGTGCACAACAGGTAAAAGCAATAGCTTTCTGTCAAAACAAGGCTTGAGGACTGCAAAGGACTAAGTAAAATCTCTTTCAAGCAGTGGGGATTTCTTCCTCCGTATAGGAGCTAATTTTACATCTTCTCTGTTAAAATGCACGAGAGTGTTGTGTGAGGTCTAAATAATAATATTTCTAAGGAGAGAAAGTGGTAAACACTTGTAACACATTCCTGCCTCCTTGCTGTTTTACAGATAATTTTAATCCCTCTTCCATCCCCTCCAGGAAAAAAGATTTTTATTTTTCCCCCTCTATTTCCTACCTGCTCAGACTCTTCCTCATCATCAGCATCAATCTGTTCCGTAGCAGAAGTCTGAAGATTTTCATCCTGATCGCTGCTGTAGGCTGGCTCAATGGACTCTTGAAATTGGGTCTCCAGCCCACTGGGTTCCAATGGAATCTTTTTCCTAGAATTCAGCAGGGCTTCATTTGATCCTAGTTTGGTGGCTTGAGATAACAGCGCTCCTTCAAGACTGATCAGCTTAAAAAAAATACCACAAAGCTTTGATTAGAAGTTTAGAGAGATTATGTATTTTACTAAGACACTGTTTTACATCAGACTTACAGGCAACGTTTAAGCTACATTCAGATAGCTGCACTAAAATGAGATTTATAAAGAAATAAGTAAAACAATCAGTATTTTTCCACAGAATATTTAGAACTGAAAAAATATATGCAAAACCCCCCACCCCAGTCATGGGCTTCAGTGTTACGGCATCCCAGTGAAGTCATATCTAATGTACCCTGTTTGTAAATCTTCCACACACACCCACTTTAAATTCCATCCCAAATAAAACCCTAGGACCTGAAATTCAACATGAGACTTTCAAACTGCACTGGGAGCTTCATTACAAATTCTTACAGAAAATGTAAACATTAGAAATGCTCGTTTCCATCTACTTAAGCTGTATCTGCTCTGTTTGGTCATATACCATGATATTCTTTTTTTATATCTATATATGTATATGTATGTATGTATGTATGTTTCAGAATAGGTTGAAACTTTCCCATGTTATTTAATAAATGCAATGACAATATGCTTCAAAGAATAAACACTATCTTTATACACAGCACTTCTGTGATTATAGTGGTATTTTTAAGTTCCCTATAGCATTATTAATTGACTGTACTGTATTATAAAATACAACAATATATGGATCAGTTGGTTTTTCTTTATTAGATATTCCTGAAATAGTTAAGCTGTATTTCTATTGCTTTCATTCCAGTAATCTTATTGGAGACGCTAACCAGCATTTATGGTTTTATTTCCATTCTTAAAATCAACACAATGAAGAAAATGCAGAATCTACAGTAAATACTGTGCTCTAAGTCATTTGAATGTGCTAAAACAAGAAACATAAGAAATGGCTTACCTTCTGCATATCTGGACTTATATCTGAAAACAGAAATATATACTTCATTGTAAGTGAATAATCAAACCTGTGCCTGTCTATGCCCATTTTAATGCTACACAATATCCCAATAATGAATTCCCAAGAGGGGGTTAAACGCAGCACCAATTGAACAAACAGACTACAGGGTCTCTGATAAAACAGAGGCAGCATGAGCTTTGCCACAGTTCCACCTGAGGTCCTGATTTTGCAATGCTGATAAGACGTGAGCAACTACTCACAATGGCCAGGACTCTGCATTCAGTTGACAGGGGCTAGGATGTTCACAGGACCAGAACCCAAGTGTGGAAAAGCAGACATTAGATTTAAACACTAACGTTTTGTTTTCTTTGCACACTTCCTCCTCCTCCCCCCACCAACGTATTTAGGGAAAGTTATAGGAGAAAAAGATCCATCTTTACTTGTTCTACAAAGTACAGAAGCACTGGGTCAATAAACAGTAGATGAAGTAGCTTACCATTTGACTTCAAAACTTTATGGACTCTAGATGAGGGTTCTGAAAGAGACAACAACATGTTTAAGCGCTCCAGCATCCTGAAGCAAGCTATGGGCATCTTGGCCAGCTTTTTATAACACAGATACCAAAATTTAAGCTTCTGAGCCCATACAGGGAAGATAGATTTCCATTCCTTAGTCACCCAATTTCCTCACAAAAAAGTATTTGCTGCTGGACATTTCCTATTAGAAATGTGTATGAGGTATGAACAGCGTAGCAGGGCTCTAAAAACGTAAGTAGCTGAACATTACATAGGAGGCCATTTGATCAGTATTTTATATTATTCCTTTTACAGGCAAAGCAACACCAATGCAATCTTTCACATCAGAAACAAAGGAAGATGCCTGAAAGGTAATTAAACCTTGATTGTTTTTCAGACACAAATGCTGCTGTATGATAAATCACTACATCAATACTCTCATGAACCTTAAGTCATTCCCGATACACAATGTTACACACTCCAAAGTGGAAAGGTCTTGAAGTAGCTGAAGAGGGGAACGCAGTGACTGCAATATGAAGTCACCCAACTACACAGATATTGGTAGTGGCTTCAAGAGGAAACTAACAGTAATTATGGGAGTATGTTTGAGCTAGGAGGAAAAATACCCCCAAAGTCAGCATAACCACCTCTCAAATCTCTGTTATCCATAAGGCAGACATTAGGCTAAATAAAGACAGTAATCATGTTTTGAAATAACAAGCCTATCGTAATCAGGATGGAACCACTTCTGAGAAAATAATTATTTGGGGGGGGCATGTCAGGTTTAAATAATGTGACTGGCTTTCCTTTATCCATTACAAAGTACCAACTGTTCTTTATGCATCCACCATTAGGAATGTATATTCATGAAACTAAATGCAAACAGTGGATAAAAAAAATCACACAAACAACAAATGGTTAATAAGATGGTGCACCCATATCTGAGAGATACTGTGCCATGTTAAATCTGCATAGGGTGCAGGTTAGAGACCAATTCCACATGCCCAGCCTCACCCAACCCTAAACAACCCTGCTTGTTTTTCCTTATGTCGTCTTGGTGGTAAAGGAGTTTATTCACCTGATTTCCTTCTCACTCTGTGAGGAGCAGTGCCTTCTTTAGGCTGGTACGATGATTTAATTTCTCCCTCGGGGCTATAGTGGAAGCCTGGGTGATCTGTGGAACAAGCAGAGGCACAAGGAATAAGAAGGTGACTAGGGTGTCACTTCACACGCCTCAGCAGCTCTCTTCCGAGGCAGTGCCAAGTCCCTTTATAACTGATATAGTGGCACTTCATCAGAGCCTGAAGTAACACAAGCAAGATCCGCTGCTGTAGAGTAGCTGTTAACCACCCAGCCATGGAAATGCTTTGCCCGTTTAGTTGTGCCTTGCTCCAGATGGCTAACCCAGCACCATTTATCCACCATCCTCGTGTTTGCTTGCCAGTCTCTCAGTCAGAGCCTTCCTGACCAATTCTCTCCAACAACTACATAAATAAATAACAAAAGCCTGCTTTACTCCAAGACCTCCTCAACATTTCTATTGTAGGACTATTGTTCTCATTTTCCTACGCTGCTAGGGATCACTGGCAACACGAAGAGCTAACGCAGCCCGCACCAGCAAAGGCAGCAGGCAGAAGATGGAACAGCAGGGACCGTGCAGATGGGACCGCACTTGGCACAGACAGCAGCATCACACGTGCTTTCTAACGCTGGCTCCTGCAACACACACAGGTAAACTCTTCAGACATAAGCACAAGCCTCGCTGTCCTCCAGCTGCAGGTTTGCCAGCACAAAGAAGTCATTAACGCTGTGTTTGCTTACTGCTAACCCTTCAGCGGGTACTAGCCAGAAGGCGTTTATGCTACAACACAGGAAAGATCACACATTTAGTCAGTATGGAGTAAGCAAAAGAAGTGGTCGGTGTTTACAGAAGGTCTTATCTGCCTCTTTCTTGCTTATCATGAGCCATAACTTGCTGGTTGCAGATCAGTCAGTCCAATGCCTACAGAGCTCCGCAGGATCTGCACCCAATTTTGGGTTTTCCAGCAAGCTCATAATTGAAGGAACATAAATGTGGCCTTGCTCCATCTCAGATGAAACCAGCAGTTAAAGCAAATCTTTTGAAGATGGTTTTATTCATTTTTTAAAACCAAAGCGAAAAAGAACCAACTTACGTATGGCATCCATTTCTAGAATCGCCTGCTTGGCCTGAAAGAGAAAAAGTAACAAATGAAAAAGCTATGCTGTAAGTAGAAAGACATATTATGTTGCATATTACAGACAGTAGTGAGTTTTCATGTAAACAACAGCAAGTTTAACTTTTGAACTAGTAAATATGGTTAGCAGAGTTATTTTCTGTCTTTGTGCGCTGGACACTTCACATACGTGAAGAATTTTGCTGGCGGAAGCTTACAAGAGCTTATCTTCAGGGCTTCACCCCAAACCCTTTTGTTCACTCTACCCAGCAGCTCCACCTTGCCTGCCCACCTCCCTTCTGGCAGCGCAAGGGGAGGAGCACGTACCTATGGCACCCATTGGCACGAGGAATTTCTGGAGGATACAGGGATGGCACATCTGACCGCAAAAACTACACTGGCTTCAAAGACAGGGGCTGTACTGAGCTGAGGTCATGCTGCATGCCCTGGGTCTCCTCCAGGGAGACTCAAACCTCCAGAGATCTCTTTGCAAGTCCCACAATTTAGATCTGTCAATACACATCTCCATATTCTGCTGGGATCAGCACAAAACTGGCCCTAGTATCTGGGAATCACATTTTTTTGTGTGATTCACAGAACATTTCCTCCCTAAAAATCAAATCTTTTAACTCCTTTATTATTTCTCAACTCTGAACTTGTTGGCGCAGAAAACGTTATCAACCTTGCTTCCTTTAAGAGTTTCCTTGAGGAACAGCTATTAAAAAAAACCAAAAATCATCATTTGATTTAAGTAAGATTGAACGAGGATAAAAAGCATCTCATGATTGCTTAAAATTTGTCACTTTTTTTAATAGGAAAGATAATCTGGATATTTTATCAAGCATATCAGCTAATAAGAAAGAAAATAACCTAAAATAAAATATCCTACGTAACCTGCTTGCCCTTCCCCAGGTGCAGTTCGGTAATTTTCCACCAGGTGTCACATATGGACTACTATTAAAAGCTGGGCAGAGAGACATCTCATAACTAGCAACTACCGGTTTGTCAAGAAAAAAAATTAAAAAAAAATATGTGCAGAAAACCTCAGAGATTTATTTGGTTAGACTTTTTCTTTCTCAAGTGAAATGATTTGTCTGAGCAGAAAATGGCATTACAGTTTTGGTTATGCATTTCTTCCACAGATTAAAAAAAAAATCCAGTAAGAAGAAAGAAAAAATCTTGATACAAAAGCTGAGATCATGCTGTAGTACTTTTTTTTTTTTTTTTTTACAACCTAATAAACTGCAACAAGAATTTACATTTTAAGCATGGATACTAGCATAAACATTATACCTTCAGTAACCTCTGTCAACAAAAAGATAGGAAGAGAATTAGTAATAACAACTGCTAGGGCTTTTTTCTCCCATAATTCTCTTTTTGTTGAACTGTTGAAAATGAGAGTTAGTACAGCACCATGTACATCAGTCACAGGTAACATTTTTTAGCCATTAGAGCATAAAACTCGGTGAAAAAAATGTCAAGCAAACTGATCAGTGAAACTAATACTGAAAAAAAAAAGCCATAAACTCAGTGGAAAAAAAAAAAAAATCAGAAAAAAATCCTGCTTCCACATGAGTCAGTGGTTGCTGTGTCATGGCAAGAGTTAAGTAGGGTTAACGCCCGTTGAGAGGTGCCCTATGTTACACCGGGAAACATCACCTGGAGCTCTAAGACAGGACTTCATAAATAAAAAGCCCGAGGTTTCCCTACTCCAAGACATTTCACCTATGAGTATGATATCAGTGCCTCATTTTCCCTGGCATAAAGCTTACTAACTATCTTACCAAAAAGGGCCTAGATGTCCCAGCTAAGGATGCAGTGTTCAGGATGGGCGTGTGTATTTGTAAAGTGAAGTGTGTGCTGCCAATGGCTTCACTGCTATGATATCTAACCAAGACAGATTAGAATTAGCTTGGCAACGTCTACACATGCTGCAATTAGCACACCTCGGTGTTGAGCAGACAGGCAGTATCAAGCTAAGGTATGCTCTTACAGTCAAGCTTTCTGACATTGCATCTCTGCTACTCATGTCTTAGCAGGCAAATCCTAATAAGGACAGCAATGCGGCTAACCCAGTTAAATTCTTCTACTCCTGTACGAAACCCTGTAGATGCTTATAGCGGAAATTTCCCATTAATTTTGAGGAACTTTTTAAAGACATAAGGAAACATCATGTTCACTAACCTCCTGGAGTCTAAACCTTCTGTAAATTGCCATGCATTTTGCAGCTAACAAGATTGCTTTAAGTTAGTACATATACAAGGAGGTGTTTTGTCTTTTTTTTTTTTTTTTTTAATTTTTACCTTGGCAGGAATTTTAGCAGGATGATTTTCTAGAATTAACCTCTTCAAGTGAAGAATCCAAAGGCGCTTGTCTTGCTGAGACTTTGCCTAATAAAAAAGTTGTAGCACCGTGAGAAAAGGCATTACTGTGCTATGCAGGGTCAGGAATAGCACACAGTCAGCAGTCAGGTTACCCAGTGGGCAGGGAGGCTTCTGTCATACCTGGACAGTATGTTGCATCTTGGGATTTTTGTAGTGGAAGACACTAAAGCTAAGTGGTTCCTTTGGTATTACTTCAACAAGCATCAGGTTTCCACACTGTAACAAAGAGAGGTGACGATGTGAATCACAAAGGAGTTTTGGGGAGACCCAGAGACAGCACATTACCACCTGCTCTCCAACCTACCAGTATGTGAGCTTTGTATACAAACATTTCATCTCTCTTTTTTGTAATTAGCAGCAGCTTGTCAAAGAGGAACAACGTGCGCTCATTTTTGGCTCGCTGAATGCGAAATGTTCCTTCTAACACCAGCTCCCCGTAACTTGTGAGGTCTGGCCCTTTCCAGTTAGTGAGCAAACTCTGTATCTCCTGCAACAGATCAAAGAAGAACAACCAACATTCGTTTCAGAGATCTTGCTGAAATGAAGACTCAAATAATCTGCTGAGGCCATTCCACTCTCCTATATAACGTTCAGCATCCAACAGTGGAAAGTCGCCATAACCTAGCAACCTCAGTACTTGTGTATGTGCAACATTGCAGCCAGGTGCTTGGAGGCCTGTTGCTAAGCCCAGACTAAAACATGCCCTCCTGAGTACTGGTTACTGGAACCAGCAAAGAGCCCTGAGCTCCCTGGGGCAGCCTGTAACGAAAGAGCACAACCTCATCTTTATCAACGATCTGAATGAGGGGATTGAGTGCACCCTCAGTAAGTTTGC